AAAGTTAAATGCGTATCTAATTTAGTTTTGATTAGATTTATTGACAAACCAGCTAGATTATATAATAGTAACTTTCATTAAGGAATCATGGGTTTAATTTTTACTCTCTATAGTGTTTTTATGCCTTGTCAAAATTACAAACGCTATATTTATTTAGCGTTTGTCATTTGACAGGCTACACATGTAGTTGTAATTTTTTTGCGTGCATTTTTAGGTGTCAAAAATACAGGGTAAATCAAAATTGGTTCAATGTCTTACCTCTGATGCCGGGCGTCTTTGAGAAGCAGGTGAAAAAAAAAAACGAAGATATATTACTGCATATTAGAGACAAAGACTGTTCTTGTATAGAATTAAAATACCATAAGCATTGTTATGCCAAATATACTGCTTTTGTTACACGTAAAAAAAGTGAGAAACCTAAAAGTCTTTATGAGCAGTCTTTTCTAGTGCTATCTAAACAAATAGAGAAGCAGCTGTATGAAGATGGCGAAAGTCTTTCTATGTCTGACATCTTTTCTTCATTTGTAAAAATTGTGAAATCAGTAGAAAGTCTTGATGCATCCAAATATAACAAATGGAGGTTGAAAAAAAGAATACGGGGGAAATTTCCAGATTTAGTATTTTACAAACCAATAAAAAAAGCAATGAGTGAGATAGTTTATCATTCAAATTTTAACATTGGCTCAATTATCGAATCAGCAATTAGTGCAGCTAGAGAACAAAATAGCAGTAGCTTTGAGTCAGATTGCACTGATGATGAAGTAATTCATAGAGATCAAGTATCGTGTTCAAGTAAAAAAACGGTAATAAACTCATTGCAGATATTATATACTGCAGCAGTAGAATTAAAAAATATTCTTAAACAAGTTCCAGCTATGAATTGCAAATGGCCTCCGAAGGCAACGGAATTGAATTTTAAATGCGCAGATGAGTTTGTACCAACTTCACTATTTAACTTTTTAGCATGGACATTTGGGTTTTCTGATGAGCCAACATTCGAGTGTAAAGTAGAACTCAATGTAAAAGATAGAGTAGAAGTATTAAGCGTTGCGCAGGACTTTATTTTTTTACATTCAAAAAGAAAAAACCTACCTCCAAAACATTTAGCACTCAGTATGGCTACAAGACAAATTACGGGGTCAAAAAAACTTATAAGTATTCTAAATGGTTTTGGGCACTGTGTATCGAATTCAGTTGTTAGATCACATGAAACAGGATTGGCAAAACTAAATATAAATGATGATGTTGTTATTGGTTCAAATGTTAACCATTGTCAGTTTACCACACTTGTATGGGATAACATTGACTTTGGAGAGGAAACTCGCTCAGGTAGTGGAACGTCGCACATGGCTAATGGGATTATTATACAAATGAAAATGGAAAACTCCAAAGTTAAATCAAAAGAATCTGTTAAAAATATTAAAAAAAGTGAAAGGTCATTGCCTAAACCTTACATAGAGATACCACAGTTTATTTTAGGAGAGAAAAAGTCACCAGAATTAAGTAGCTCTTATAGAAAAAATCCATTTTCAATTAGAGAAGATGAACATTTGATAGATCAATCATTTTCAAGACTAATAAACTTTGGTTATATTCTGTTAACGATTCTAATACTTTGCTTCCTGGCTGGACAGGCTTCAAAACACTTCTTCATGCAAAGCCATTAAATAAATCTATTATAAGTTACTTACCTGTAATTAATGCACCAGTTACCGAAATTTCCACAGTAAATGAAATTCTTCAGAAAAGTATTGCGATAGCAGATAAGTTAGGATTACGTCATATGATAGTAGTATTTGATGAAGCATTATATGCTAAAGCTCAACAAGTCAGATGGAAAAATGCAATGTTAATGGAACGTATAATCATCCGTATTGGTGATTTTCATGCAGTAATGTCATACATTAGTGCTATAGGTAAACGATTTACAGACTCCGGTTTGCAGGTAACTTTTGATTACTTCTATACACGACCAATTTGAAATATTATTCATATTTCTATTTCTCCTATAGAGCTTTCTGTTTTGACTTTAACTATTTTTAAATTTATTTAAAAATTGTTTTCAGTTTTATATTTTTTTTCTTACAGGATATTTTTATTGAGTCCGGTGTTGTAGCAACTGGCTCTTTGAATGGAGTATTGCGAGGAAAACACTATAACCGTGCTGTATATGCTTATAAAATCTTATACGAAGCTTTACAACGATTACGACTACGTTCATTTGTTGAAACATTGAATTTAAATGAACAAGATTGCTTTAATACTAATGTTGCTATGTTGAGCGAAAAATTTCCCGACCAATTTACAGATCATCTAGTTAATGACAAATACTTATCAATATTTGCGAAGTATTTTACTTTTTATTTTCTGAATTGCTTTAAAAACAGTGTTTTCTTTTAACTGCCACTTTTTCCCGTTTGGTTTAACACTAATTTTCACACTTATTTTATTATTGTTTTGATATAGATATGATGATTTTATTTTTGAATCAAATCAACAGTCACCAACGTTTTCATTCTGGTCATCTTTCATCGAAATGGTAGAACTGTTATTATTGTTCATTAATGCCACACGCTGCAGTGATTGGAACCTTCATTTATCAACTATTAGATCTATTTTACCTTGGTGTTTCAGCTATGATCGAGTTAACTATTCTAGGTATCTCTCAGCATATTGGTTAGAAATGACGTTGATCAACGAAACACATCCTGGTAATTTTAGTAACACGGCGTTACGGTATTTTGTAGTAGAAAATTTAAATCTACTTTATTGCGTTTTAAGGATATCTAGGTGCTTTAAATAGGATTAAAAATAAGTAATTTCTTCTCATAGGGATTAAAAACGAACTATCGAAGCAATGGACAGTCCAACGGCAGACTGAATATGGTTTCTCATCAGTTGCCTGTGATCAAGCCATTGAACAAACAGCTAATCGCGATTGCAAAACTACTGCTGGTATTATTGGGTCTACCTTACACCAGGGAGTAGTTCATTGGTGGATTTTAGCTCAGAGTGATAGAGCTGCAATAACGAGTGAATGCGAAACGATGGCTGGCATCAGTATAAATAAAAGGTTTGTAGTTAAACTGCTGTATTTGGCAACGTTACAAAAATAAATAATAGTAAATTAAATTAAATTGTATTCAAATGAACCAGTTCTTTAGGTTCAGAAAAGATCTCGATCAGCTTAGAATACTAAAAGACGAGGAAAATGTTCAAAATGTAATGAATGCCATTGATGCAATGATAAATCCTTTTACAATTGAAAGCAAAAAATTACTTAACATCTCAACAGGTTCGGTTGCGTCCACTGATATTGAATCTGATCTTCAAAATGCTCATGATATAGGGGATAAACAGTTTACCTCTTTTGTCAATGAGAAACTCCTGTGTGAAGATCCTGATATATTTTCGACAATAAAGCGAAATAGTTTAAAAACATTTGCTAGCCTAAAGAAGTTAACAAAATCTAAGTCCTCTAATGGCAAACTAATCACGTTTAAGAATGACAGAGATTTGTTTGCTAGGCTAGTGCTAATTGGTAAGGCCAGAGATGTCGACATAAAAGAGATACTAAAATATTCATTGAGAGTGTATCCAATGTCTTTATCAACAATCACAGGCTCACTAGTTAAAACGTGCAAGGCTAAGTTGCTAAACGTTATTGAAGCAACATGTAATGATTTTATTGTGACCACTACTCCTGCAGAAAATGCACTACTTATTGATGCTATGGCAATTTTACAAATGATAAATACAATACCCAATACATTTAATCATCTAGCTAATGAAATACTTCAACAAGTAATAAGATTAGCTACTTTTCATAAATCATCTCGTGTTGATTTCGTATCTGATCGCTACCCATTAATTAGCACTAAGAACGCTGAAAGAGAAAAACGTGCACAATCAGGTACACAAGCATTTACCATCTACAGTGGTGCACAAAATGTACCAAAGCAGTGGAAAAAATTTATGTCCCTTGGACGAAATAAAGAGGAGCTAATTAATTTTTTATTCATGTCTTGGTGTGAATGTGATCCACAAATTCTTGGCAATATAATTCTCTACATCACACAAAAGAACTTATGATACAAAATTCAGTCCATTGACAACCATATTATAGTAACTGAAGTCCCTGAGCTTGCCAGTGACCACGAAGAAGCAGATACAAAGTTAGTTTTGCATGCATCACATGCATCGCTGGACTACCAAAACATTGTAATTAGAAGTCCTGATACTGATGTAATTGTATTTGCTCTGTCAACTTGTCTTCCGTCAACAGCATACTTCGATATTGGTGTTGGTAACAAACGCCGCATTATCAATATAAAAAAATGTGAATCTGATCTCGGTAATGATTTGTCGATTGCTATGACCGGATTTCATTTGTTTACAGGTGACGATTTTTCTTTCTATAGATATTATTTTAACAGTACTGTAGTGTTTAGACGGGATAAAAAACTAGAGGTGAATTCAGATTTTGAAATTAATTTAAACAGTTGAAATTAATTCAAACTGTTTATATTTTTTCTTTGGTATTTAAGGTTGCGATTCAACAAGTGCATTTTATGGAAAAGGAAAAGCAATCGCTTTCAAAGTCCTACGGAAGAAAGCGAAGTACTTAGATGCTTTTAAAACTTTAGGTGATTCAGTACCACCATCTGATGAACTAGTAAATATACTGGAAACATATGTCTGTGATTTATACGGGGCTGAACAAGAAGAATCAGTTAATTCCGCTCGTTACATATTATTCAAATCTGGTAAATTTAGCGAGGAAGCGTTACCACCAAATAAAGATTCGCTTGTTCAACACATTAAAAGAGCTAATTATGAAGCTTTTATCAGAAAACGATCATATATAGCAGTGATTAACCCACCAAGTCCTTTTGGAAATGGTTGGTTTAATGATCAAGGTTCAATTGCCATATCTTGGATGGAAATGCCTGCTGCACCCGATTCGTTGCTTGATTTTGTTCACTGTTATTGCCGTGATTGTTCCACTAAAAGATGTTCTTGTAATAAAGCTGGTGTAGTTTGCACAGACCTTTGCAAATGTAATGGTTGCAGAAATCATGGTGGTGACCATCAAGAAGCGGATGATGATAACCAATCAGATGAATCATACGAGTCTGAGTCTGATAATGATTAGATTAGATTTATAAGTTGTAATAAAAATCACTTGTTATTTAATATTTTTTGATTTTGAACTGCAAGATAAACATCAGCAGCAATAATATATATTAGAAATTTGGTTAATAATATTTCTGTTTTAAATACAGTTCTCTTTTAAAACATTGCATAAAAACGGCAAATGGTAAGTCTCCTAAGGAACAGATCAAAAATAAAAAGGTCTGGAACCTAAATTACCTATATCAAAAAGCATCCAAATTTTCAAATACTTTTAGTAAATTACTAAAGAATACACTGACTAAATTTGAAGTAGAAATTATTATTGATTTGGACGTTATTAAAAAAAAACTGAAGGTCATTTTTATTTTTTTAGTAGAAACCGTCTTGGTCAAAACTATAGGATGGTTTCTATATGCTGCAAAACTTTGACCTTAGTTATCCGGTTATTGGGACCATAAAAATCTGGGAACTTTTTTTTTGTAATTAGTTTGTTTAGCTCTTCAAAATAACTTCAACAAAATTTAGTTACTAAATGTGTATAACGAACGTCTTTTTTTTGAAAGCTTTTTCTGCAACAGAAAAAGCTTTCGCCGGCCTAAATGGAAAAAAAATGTAAATACTGAACTTACACCATATAGAATTTTCAAGAGATCGAAAACATGTTCAGACGATTTTCCTGAAAGAACATTATCGTTTAAAAATCGATATTTTTTGTTTAACTTGGGCTACAATGCTCAAAGACTGATATTATTAAATGTAAATATAATACAGCTTTTTCAAAAAATGATCCATTAAATTATGTTGAATTTAATGCTAAGCGTTGTTTTTTAATAGAGCATCAAGAATTAAGAAAGGAAATTGATAACTTTAAAAAAGAACTTCAGCACGAAATAAAAAAATTAAGATTTTTTGAAAAATTAACTTCAACCACATCAATTATTACTATGAAAACAGACAAACTTGTATATAAACATAATCCAAACAAATCGTGTTATTGCAATTTACTTGAATACAAACATTTATTTTAAAAATAATAGATCTTGCGACTTTTATACTGGCCTTACATCTGTCAATGTGTTTCATCAGTTAGTGCAGTATCACCATTAATCAAAAGAGATAAAGCGATATTAAAAAAACATTTACTTCTGTTTTTTGAAATTTAAAAAAATCCTTAACTACTTGGACCAAAATAAATGTAATGCAGCAAAGATGAATTTTTAATAATGCTAATACTTGGATTATTACAGCTGATTTTGATGACAGGTTGAGTATATTTTTAGGATTAGTGAATGCAATATTTTCTTCATTGTTGAAAGCTTCTAGCTCACTTTTAAACCACATGGTTTTTGTTCCAAGTAAAGATGTTATAAGACAGGCAATGGCATTGCCTTGTAAATTGGCATTGCCTTGTAAATTGTAATTGCCTTGTAAATTGTAAATTGCCTTGTAAATTGGCATTGCCTTGTAAATTGGCATTGCCAAGTAAAGATGTTATAAGACAGGCAATGGCATTTGTATTAAAAAATTAATATTAAAGCTTTAATCATACATTATACAAGAGTATTTTGCAATACAATCTAAATAGTTGTTGCGATATGTAATTTTTTTTATCCAAAATTTAGCTTCTGTAAGCTTTAGAAATTTTTTAAAGAAATTATTGATGAATTTGAAGCTACGGGTACTAATGTTTTTATATTGTTGTAATGTTTGTATTCATTCCCTGTTAGTTTCTGTAAATCAAAATTTTAAGGTGTTTCCATAATAAATTTTGTTATATCTGAAATTTAGTGTTAGTCTGAATAATTTACTTTCTAAAATCTGTTTTGCATTGGCAATGAATAATTTATGAATAATGAATGAATAATTTACTTTCTAAAATCTGTTTTGCATTGGCAATGCAAAACAGATTTTAGAAAGTAAATTATTCAGACTAACACTAAATTTCAGATATAACAAAATTTATTATGGAAACACCTTAAAATTTTGATTTACAGAAACTAACAGGGAATGAATACAAACATTACAACAATATAAAAACATTAGTACCTGTAGCTTCAAATTCATCAATAATTTCTTTAAAAAATTTCTAAAGCTTACAAAAGCTAAATTTTGGATAAAAAAAATTACATATCGCAACAACTATTTAGATTGTATTACAAAATACTCTTGTATAATGTATGATTAAAGCTTTAATATTAATTTTTTAATACAAATGAAGTGATTTTAATTAAATCCATTTTTATCAGTCACTTTAAAAATATGATGAGTATTTGTATAAAGATAATTAAAATTTCAAACAATAATATTAGCTTTACTTGTTGTTTTTTTTTAGGTGAATCGATTGCAATTGATGGAATATCTTTAAAATGCTGAGGTAATCAAAAAAATTTTGAATTATTCAGGAATTTTAAGGATTAAATTATTTAGCAAAAAAATTGTTTGATAATGAGTTCAATTTAAATTTAAAAAAAAAATTAATATTAGTTCTCGCACAATTAATATCAATTTTTTTATCTATTAAAATTTAGAATATTTTCCATCAATATTGTGACCTCCATGAATATGAAGGGGTAAGGTGGAAATATGCTTTAAGAGCACTAATTTATATGGTGTACTGAAAGGTATACCTTTATAAGATATGTAAAACTTTTTTATTCTCATTTTTTATATATACAAAAATTTCTCCTTGTGTTTTTTTTTTTTTTTAATTCTTTTTTATTAACAGCTTCTTCTATTAAATACGATGGAGCGACTGAAACTCTAATTGATGGCATTTTGTCTAACTTCTAAAAATGCACTTCATTTTGAAAAGGTGGCGGAAAAGAAAAAAATTTAGATTGATTGATATAAATTTATATTTATAAAAATTGATCTAAAATTTCTTTATTGAACTATTTACATATATTTCAATAAAGAAATATTTTCTTTTTGTCTGCTAATATTTTTTTTTTTTAGTGTTAATTCAACATTACAAATTAAAACTCAATTATGAAAAAAGCCTAGAATTGAGTTGATGTTTTAAGTAAAATAAGAAAAGCCCAAAAAGTAACTGATATAATATTTTTATTTTTTGATAAGAAAAAAATTCTAATTATGTTTAAAATTGGTATTAATATTAATGTTTATTAGATGAAGATGAGTAAAAAATAAGTAATGTTTATTAGATAAAGATAAGTAAAAAAATAAATTATTTTTTGGTCTTGAAAGTTGTTTGAATGATAATTTATTATTTATCAAAATATTTTCTTTTTTAATTTTTGTTGTTTTTATATTTTAATTAAAAGTCAATATTATTGTGTCATATATTATAATATACCTTATATTATACTATTATATTTTATATTAATAATGAGTATTTTTGTTTTTTTGTATTTCTATTTTTTTTCAATATTCCATAATTATCTTATGTAGATGTTTATGTTTTAGCAACCTAGTATTCTTTCATTATTTGTCTTTGTTATTGAGCCTTAAGTTATTTGAACATAATATATTCAGAACTCTGAATAATAGAGTAATAAATAAATTAATAAAAATGAGTTTAAAATATTATAAATTTTTAAAATAAAGAAAATCTTATCTTTGCTTATAATGTCTACTAATATTATTGTTTAACAATTATCATGGTTATAAAATGTTTAAATTTAGCTAGTTTAATTAGGCCTGTTAGTACATTTATATTATGGTTTCTTGATTTTATATTAGTTCATGTAATTTTTTCAAAATCGAATATGCGGAAAGGAGCTGTTTGGAATGAAGATTTACAAGAAGAAGTAATTCTATCTGATTGGATTAGTGATAAAACTGTTTTTCGGCTTCCAGGTACCAAAGCATTGACTGCACTAAAATGCAGAGAAGAATTGGCTTAAGTTTATACAAATAAAAACTAAATTCTCTTCAGGTATTACATCTATATATTACAATTATTATTTTTTAAATAATGTGGTAAGAAGAGTTATTTTGTTGATACAAAATATATAACTATTTGTATAACTATTTCAATTCTAAAAGAAAGCAAACATTATTGTGAAAATTTTAAATTCACAACTACAAAAGAAATATGTGATAATGAGAATGTTGACAAGTGGATGCAAGATTTGCACACAAGTGGAAACTTGGTTGCAAATTTTCCACTTGTGTGGTTTGGATGGTTCTCCACAATATAATATATCTCCACAAGCATAATATTAGATTTACTTCATGTTTTTTTACAGATAAATCAATTACAGTTAATTGGTGTTGTTACCTCATTTATAATCAGGGTGTCTGCAGCTCCTCTAAAATCCTCTAAAGTCCTCTTTTTTTAAAACCACTTCTAAAATCCTCTATTATCCTCTAAAGAGATAAAAATTTAATCAAAGCTCCTCATTAATTCTTCCTTTTTTAATTTTTGATGGATTTATAATGTTCAAAATACCCATTCTCGGTCTGCAAAACTGGTTAACGCCTTAAAGTGCATGGAATTGTAAAAAATTGCTTTAGAAAATGCATGCTATTTAACATAACGAATGACATTATTTGATCCCTGTCCAAGCCCCATAAGTGTATAAACATGGACGTAAAACCATTAATAATTGGTCACATAAAATTTCTTATAAAAATTTTATGTGGCCACCCAGAAAATTATTTTTAAATGCTAGAAATGTTTTATATTTTGATTATTAATTTATTTTTAATATATTAAAAAGGTTGTTTTATTTAAATTAAATATTTGCAAAAGTTATTAATAACCAACTAACAGTTATATTATTTTTTAAAAATTCAGAGTATTTTCGAAAAGTTATATGGCCTCGATGGATATGAAGGGCAAAGGTGAAAAAATATATTTTAAGAACACTAATATATATGGCGTTGAAAAAGATATACCTTCATAAGTTGTAACACTTTTCCATTACTTATTTTTTTTTAAAATCTTCCCTTTTTGTTTTTTTTTTTAATATATTTTTTTATTTACAGCTTCCTATATTGTATTTAATGGACCAAAAGAACCCTCGGTTAATGGAACATTGTTTGACTTTCTAAATTACGCTTTATTTCAAAAATGTGGTGGAAAAGAGAAGAAATTTGTGTAGATTTTATTCAATTACATGTAAATA